TTCTGTCATTTGCAACATGGATAGAACTAGAGGACATTAAGTTAACTGAAATAAGCCAGGCACAGAAAGATAAATATTGCTTATTTTCACTCATATGTGGGAGCTAAAAAATATGGAACTCATGGAGATAGTAGAATGATGGTTATCAGAGGCTGAGAAGGATAGTTGGGTGAGGGGTGGGAATAAAGAAGTAATTGTTAATGGGTAGAAAACCATTAGATGAAATAAAATCTAGTGTTCAGTAGCACAGTATGGCAACTATAGTTAATAGCTGTTAACTATAGTTAACACAATAATTTATTGTATATTTCAAAATAATTAGAAGAGCAGGATTGGAATGTTACTACCACAAAGAAATGATAAATACTTGAGGTAACAGATATCCCATTTACCCTAATATGATCATGACATATTGTATGCTTACATTAAAATATCACAGGTACCTCATAAATATATATATATATATTATGTACCCAAAATAATAATTTTTTTTTTTAGACAGAGGCTCACTTTGAGGATGACCTCTGTCGGATGACCTCTGTCAGATTACCTTTGTCATTCACAGTTTGTGAACTCATCCGAAAAAAAAGTGCTACTTTTTTTTTTTTTTTTTTTGCAGTTTTTGGCTGGGGCTGGGTTTCAACCCACCCCTCCAGCATATGGGGCCAGCCACAGGCACCGCTCCCCAAGAAAATGCTACATATTCACTCTTGTACGGTTACCTTCAAAGTACTCCCTTTGGGAAGTTATACACAGACACCAGGGCCTAGTCCAACCCTTCAAAACAATTTTGGAACTCTTTTTCTGGAATGACCATCAGAGCTATCATCATATGGGCGTAATTTGAACCTGCCACAATGCACTTACATCACCAACACTATACAAACAACTCAGTAAGGTTTCATAACCTTGATATCAGTGTTTCACAACTGTGTGCCATCATGTTGCAGGGTCTTGCTGAGTGGTACATGCTGTGTGTTCTTGTGTGCTAGTGAAAATATTATATGGTACACAGATCTTTTTTTTTTTTTTAAATTTTGAGACAGAGCCTCAAGCTGTCGCCCTGGGTAGAGTGCCATGGCATCACAGCTCACAGCAACCTCCAACTCCTAGGCTCAAGCGAGTCTCCTGCCTCCATCTCCCAAGTAGCTGGGATTACAGGCGCCCGCCACAACACCTGGCTATTTTTTCATTGCAGCCATCATTGTTGTTTGGTGGGCCCGGGCTGGATTCGAACCCACCAGCACAGGTGTACGTGGCTGATGCCTTAGCTGCTTGAGCCACAGGCACCGAGCCCACAGATCTTTTTTCTAATTATTGTTATTATTTTTTTTAGAGACAGAATCTTGTTCTGTCTCCCAGACTGGGATGCACTGAATTGATCATAGCTCACTACAACCTCCAACTCCCAGTTTAGCCTCCTAGAGAGTTGATACTACACGCATGTGCCACTACAGACAACTAATATATATGTATATTTTTAAAGTCAGTCTTGTTTTGTCACCCTCCATAGAGTGCCATGGCATCATAACTCCCAGCAAACTCAAACTCTTGGGCTCAAGTGATTCTTTTGCTTCAGCTTCTGGAGCTGGGATTACAGGTACCTGTCACAACACTTGGCTATTTTTAGAGATGGGCTCTCGTTCTGGCTCAGGCTGGTCTCAAACTCTTAACTCAGGCAATCCATCTACGTCGGCCTCCCAGAATACGAGGATTACAGGCGTAAGCCACCACACCTGCCCAACTTTTTTTTTTTTAATTTTATTTTTAAAGACTAATTTTTTTTTTTTTTTTTGAGACAGAGTCTCAAGCTGTCACCCTGGGTAGAGTGCCATGGCATCATAGCTCACAGCAACCTCCAACTCTTAGGCTCAAGCAATCTTCTTGCCTCAGTTTTTCTATTTTTAGTAGAAAAAACTCTTGCTCAGGCTGGGCTCTAGTTCATTAGCTCAAGCATCCACCACCTTGGCCTCCCAGAGTGCTAGGACTATAGGCATGAGCTACCATGCCCAGCTGCACTGCACTGCATTAATGTGAAGTTTGACTCTTTCTCCTTTTTTAACCCTAAATAGAGGCATTTGGTAGAGGTTACTTTACAAAGAGTAGTTATAAATGCCTACTCTTTGTAAATTAAGAGTCATCTTAAATTAATGTCATTAATTAAATTAAATTAAATTAATGTCATCTTAAATATCCAGCCATCTAAATGCTGGAGTATTCAACCATTTTTGTCAAACCAGTTATTCATCACAATACTTCATTAAACCAATGCAACACATCTAATTGAGCCATTCCTAAAGGAAATAACTCCTAAAAGGAAAGAACTTTTCAAGCTCTTTTTTTTTTTTTTTTTTTTGAGACAGAGTATCACTTTGTCCTCCCCCCACTCTGGTAGAGTGCTGTGGTGTCATAGCTCACAGTAACCTCAGATGCTTGGGCTCAAGCAATTCTCTTGCCTCAGCCTTCCAAGTAGCTAGGACTACAGGCGCCTGCCACAACACCTGGTCATTTTCTTGTTGTACTTCTCATTGTTTTTTTAGCTGGGCTGGGCTTGAAACCACCAACCTTGGTGTATGTGGCTGGTACCGTAATCACGATGCTATGGGTGCCGAGCCTTCTTTTTTTTGAAACAGACTCTTACTCTGTTGCCCTGGGTAGAGTGCTGTGCACTACAACTCACAGTAACCTTAAACTCTTGGGCTCAAATGATCCTCTTCCCTCAGGCTCCCAACTAGCTGGGACAACAGGCACCTATCACAACATCCTACTAGTTTTTCTTTTTTTTTAGGGTACACATTGCGTCTCACTCTTGCTCAGGCTGGTCTCGAACTCCTGAGCTCAAGCAATCCACCAGCTCTGCTTCCCAGAGTCCTAGGATTATAGGCATAAGCCACTGTGCCTACCCACTATCTTTCTATCTTCTAAGAAACAGAATAGTCCCACCTGCCCTTACAGAAGGCAACAGACAAAAAATGTTGCATTTTGCCTTCTTTTCATTGTTGTTGTTGTTACTTCTCATTCCAAAACCCTAACCCAAATCTTCACCTTCTCCTATCATTTCTTCTCCACTTCAATATTTTTTCTTTAAAGCTCACATTTACTCTCACCTCCACCTAGGGCAAAGATAAGTGACTATAGCTCTTCATCTTTCGACACCCAGAGGCAATGGAGTATAATGGAAAGCACACTAGCGTACCAAACCCAGTTTGGGTCCTAGTTGGATCTGTCCTTCTGGGAAACAGTTTCCCAATCTATGCCTCCGTTTCTCTTCTATAACGTGACAGTGTACCTCCCATGTTAATGGTCCATTGTTGTTCACTGAAGTAGTATCCCTCATTAGTGGACAGAGTTAAAACACTGTGGGTCAGTAGTGTGTGGGGCAAGGTGAGCCTGAAGAAGTAGGGAGAGGCAGGACTATATGAGGATTATGGTCTATATATGCTGAGGAAGAATTTTTAACCTTGTATGAGTCTGAGATGCAGGCTAGGAAAGAAGGAGCTCAGCCACTATTGGTGAGGAGTTACAGGAACTGCAAATACAACACACCCTGGCAACAGCTAAAAGGAAAAGGCAAGCTGAGAAGGTGGCACAGGTCTCTCTGACCTTTTCTCCTTCATGAGAGGGACCCACTTCCAACTCTCTTTGGAAGTACTCTAAATTTTTTCTTAATTCTTCCTAAATAAAATCTCTTTGCCACCCTGAAATTGAAAAAAACAAAAATAAAAACAAAAGGCCAGGCTCAGTGGCTCATGTCTGTAATCCTAGCCCTCTGGGAAGCTGAGTGCGGTGGATTGCCTGAGCTCATGAGTTCGAGACCAACCTGAGCTAGAGTGAGACCCTGTCTCTAAAAAAATATCGAGGCATTGAGGAGGGTGCCTATAATCCCAGCTACCAGGGAGGCTAAGGCAAGAGAATCACGTTGAGCCCAAGAATTTGAGATTGCTGTGAGCTATGATGTCACAGCACTCTACTGAGGGTGACAAAATGAGACTTTGTCTCAAAAAAAAAAGAAGATGATGGCACAGGGCACTGAGTGCGATTATGGACAAAAACCTGTGAGAAATTAGAACTGTCAGAATAGCAGCAGCAATAGCAACAACAATGGACCATATCTTCTTTAAAGCACAAAAGTTAACTTTAGGGGAAACTGAGGAAATTACTTTTTTTTTTTTTTTAGACGGAGCCTCAAGCTATCCCCCTGGGTAGAGTGCTATGGCATCACAGCTCACAGCAACCTCCAACTCCTGGGCTCAAGTGAGTCTCCTGCCTCAGCCTCCCAAGTAGCTGGGACTACAGGCACCCACCAC